AACTTTTGTCACTTATTGACAACGTTATGGAGCAGTTCATACAGGGTGGCTAAAAAAAAACCTGGACCCCTGTCTTTCAGAATTTTTTTCTTTTTAATTTTTCAAGATTGATCCGCCAAATATTGGAGGCAAACTTTCACCTATTTCTGGCTTTCATAAAAAAGTTTTGACAAAAGATTGTGGATAAATTAAATTCTTTCAAAAAGCACTCTACATTTTTACTGCCCAGAACTGAACTGCCCCAGACAATGCTCTATCGTCGCAAATATTCAAAGACGTCTCCTCTATTTTCTACGATACTTTCCGATCTGTTCCACCAATGATCAACTGTGCGATTTACTGATCGCTAGGAGCTTCCCATCACTGCTGCCTACTTGGTCAATCTTTTGCAAAGCAAATTGATACTGGAGACGCTCTAGTTTTCATCAGGGAACTCTTCCACTATTTTCTTTACCCCTAGCGTTTTCCTTTCCTTAACACTTCAATGGCTGCTGTCTTTCTTTGAAATAGGCATATGGAAACAGTTTTTGGAGCCAATAGTTAAGAGAATTATTATAGTACAGCAAACATGGGGAAAACGAATAAAACGTGATGAAACTGCGAGAGCGTGTCACTAACAATGCGCGAGTTATTCTCAATTTTCACACCGCCTCTTGAATGCAACCTTGCTCTAAATTTCCCATTTTAAGAGCGATGTTTGGAGTATATGACGCCACAGGGCCAGAAAAGTGGATTGACACTCAGCTGCCATGACGCATTGACAACAATATGCGTTGTGCTTTCGGAGCAGTGAAAATTCTGAGTACCATTCGGAAAATTTTAATTTCTCCATAATCCTTTGCTCAAACGTAGCCAAATTTCAAGTTAAAGCCATAAATAGATGGAAGTCTGCATACAAGAAATTTGGCTGATCAATCTTGAAATATAAAAAAGTAAAAAATTCTGAAAGACAGGGGTCCAGGTTTTTTTGAGCCACCCTGACGTCACCATGCTCCCCAATAGCTAGAATTTCCATCGTTGAGAACATTGACCACTGACATCCATGAACTTCCTCTTTTCTTGAATCTGCACCCCTGGAGGGTTTCGCGATTGTGCAGTATGTGACCGAGGAAGATGAAGGGAAGGGGGAGGAGGATTTTGCAATCACCAAAGGATCGTAATCCCAATCTGACGCTGACAACATCAGTATTTGTTGTTGACTATATGGTAGCGAAAAGCGAAAAGGGACAAAACTTCAAGACGGAGCATAAAGTGAACATCATTCGTTTGATAGGAAATGGGCGAAGTAAAGCATACGTTGGTCGTAAAAATTGACTTCCGGGCTCTTGGTTCCACAATTTGGAAAATGCAGCCTCACTTAGGGGATGGTGGGGCAGAACAGGGTCACTCAAATGTTAACCAAACCATGTTTGATATATATTGGATATTTCCTGTATCATGATCCCTCACCATATTCATATTTCATATTTTTTAAAGAACTTGAGGTGAACATGTGAACTTGTATATGAAGTATATTGTATATGTAGCTTCTTATTTTTCGCTCATGTCTCATTCATGGACAGTGTGGGGGGGGGGGGGCGAAATTGGGTAGTGTTGCAGCCCGTGTCTCTTATTCTCTCCTGGAACATCCATTATAACTCATCGTTTATGATCAACAAAAATAGACTACGTAACGTTGCTAGGTGTTTGTATAGGCCAATATGCAGAATGAAGGCTAAAAATAATACTTTTTTATTATTGTCAGTCAGAAGTGAAATTATAATATTGGTGAAGCCAAAATGGTAATAAATTGTTATTTAAAAAATGAAGGGCAAGCCTGGTCAGTGAATAGGCAACTGTAATGAAATGGATAAATACGTAAAGCAACATCAGAATTGTGGATATTTCATCGATGTTTCTGCTCAATTTTTGTAGGCATATATGAGCAAAAACTTAGTAAAACAATATGCGGGGAAGTATCCCATTTGACAATAATGTTTAGAACTTTCGATAAATAAAACAGCCTCTTTTCGCATGAAATTGAATCATAGCCTTAGTTAAGGTCGGTGAAGTACAGCGTACCAATCAACGACGTGTGCTGCAACTGTTTCTTGGTTCTGAAATTTGTCTATTTCACTTAGTGTCCCCCACCTTGCTCCACTTTCCCCTTTGGAGAATCTCGGCTATAACGAGATTTTTTTCCTGGTCTCTTCAAAGGCGCCATAATCGAGTTCGACTGCAGCCAGCCTAGCATAGACCAAAATGGAAGGCATGGGTTCCACCTCCCAAGACCACGAATGGATCCTATACCGGTGTGGGGTCGACACAATATGTTTGCTAGGGTGTGAGTGGTGATACTCATTAGTCCCCAGATGGTTGACAGGATGATCGAATGGAAATCGATCAGGAAACGGAGCCCTCTGACCTCTGAAAAGCGAATCGAGGTCTTGGGTGTCATTCAAGTCTACAGGCCGAACGACGAGTCGGACAGCGATGCGTTCTTCCATGTAGTGGATAAGACGCAACAATGGATCTCGAATGGCGATCTCGTTTCGCTGATGGGCAAATTCAAAACGTGAGTTGGGAACAACCAAGCTAAATGGAGTTGTGTGATCGGTTGATTCGAAAAAAAGAAACAGACTATATGGGAAAGACAAAATTGTTTCTTAAAAATTTTTCATAGCAATGGTATGATAATAACCAACTCCTTTCAACACAAGGATATCCAGAAGTGTGCTGGCAAGGGTGTCTGACAGTCGGACTCGAACTGTAAATCAGCAATCGCTGATCGATTATACGATCGTTTCGTTAGACTTGAGGCTTCGTGACGGATACAAGCGTAGTGTGATTATGAAATGAGCATCGATCACTGCCTTAGTGGTCTGCAAACTCCGGATGTGCAGGAATCTCAGAACGGGCAGAAAACCACACATGGTGCTAAATGGGTGAAGAAAGAATAAGAAACCCTCCACGATTTGGGAACTCGTAGTAAATTGGCAAGGACGATTGGTGAGTATTCCCAACTACACCCCCTGACATCTGACAGAAATTTATTGATCAGAAAATGGGATCTATTTCGGTCTGAAGTTTTCGCTGCAGCAGCGAGTGTGTGGCGAAAAGCGTATCGGGTGGTGCACGGTAACACCCTTTTAGACGCCAGAGGTTATATCAGGATGTTGCTGAAAAGAAGGCAGCCTATAAAATGCACATGTACAGTTTGTCATATTTTTCCAGGTGTGATACAGAGATGCGCATATAACTGCTGCTCGAGCTGTAGCTGAAGCGAAAAAGGAGACGCGAAATAAATTAGGCGAGCAAAAGGAATTCAACCACCGCACTTCTACCGAGGTGTTCCGGTAGGGCAAAGCCGACAACATCCTTTACGGTTATTAAAGATCGAAACGGGAAGACACTGGCTGCCGAAGCAGAAAAACTTAGTGCTCTTTAATTCGCCCTCATTTGGCTCTCACACCCAACTCGGAGCATTCCCACGCGTAGCGCAGTTTTACCACGAAGGAAATTGTGCAGGTCAACAGAGGACCGGCAGAAGATCATTCGGCAGTCCTAGTAAAAAGTGGAGCTACTATGTTGCAAAATTCTGTCAAATAGGTGAGACGTTGAGCCTCAACGTCTCACCTATTTGAGTTCCAGTCCGTTTCCCAGGATCGTGAAAATTGTAGGACGCTCTAGGTCAGTGGTGCCCAACCTTTTCGGCTAGGGGGCCACATAGCTCACTACCACAGCTATTGCGGGCCATATTAAGTCACTAGTATTGTAGGAGAAAATTTTAAGCAAATCTGAGGGCATTGTGGGTTAGGGCCTCGCGGGCCACTTGTAAGCACCTCCAGGGCCACTTTTTGCCCGCGGGCCAATGGTTGGGCACCACTGCTCTAGGCGGCTTATCTTCAACCCGCGACGCCATTTAACAGGGTGGACGACCTTGAAAATGCAAATTCGTATGTATGATTGGGTAAGATAGTTCATCTCCATGGATTTTTACTTCATATTGTTTCAGTAGTATTATGGAGGAGAGCAAACAAAATTGAATTTAAAAAGTCTATGCCGGGAACCTGGATTTCGGTAGTACAGAAACCAAAGCGTCTCAAATTATTTATTTATACGATAGTCCTCTGTTCTACAGGCGTTATATAGGCAGTGATGTTTAAATTATCAGATTATACCTCTTGCGATATTCCCCTCCCCCCCCCCCATTTTTCACCTCATGCGGTAGGGCGATTTGGAATAATGTTGCGTATGTGGGATGTGTGCCGTTGCATTTTGTCAATGCTTTTTTTTTTCCTTTTTTCCCCTGAAATCTGCAGGTAATAGTAATTACTATAGTTACTAGTCAAGTAGTTCTTTGCTAGTTGGTGTTCGATATTCTGTATTTTCTAATATACCAATAAACATATATTTGAGGGTATTAAAAAAAAATCAGAAACATGCGTTCTGATTTTTTTTTCGTGCAATGCACGTTCTCTCCAACAAAGAGACTTGAAAACAGGGGAAAGAACGATACAAAACAGACCGTATTCAAGTTGCTCCACCCTATGGAGTTACTTGGAATGGCCTTCCACAGCATTTCATCAATACACGGCAGCAGGTACAAGTACAATTTTTATAGGTTCTGCAAGGCTTCATGAATTCGTTTTAAGTCTACATAGGTGTGATTTCTTGGTAAAACGTTCTGTATCTATGGGAGGAAACAACATGTCACCCCACCTCACCGCATTTCTTTAACCTGAGCATACTGTATATATGCAACTCAGAAATTTAAGTGAGAAATATTTCCATGTAACCTCACTCAGGGAGACAGAGAATTAATATGAGGGGCATAGCCACGCAGGGAAGGAGGGGTGGTGGTGGTGGTTTAACAGCCTCTTCCAAAAGCTAAGCGAAGGTGCACAACAGTAGTATTGATATTATGCAGGAAATGGTCCAATTTTCGGTTCAGTATCCTTCTGTGTGATTCTGGCGCGTGAACGAGATTTAAAAAAAATTTAAGTAAAAGAAAAGCTTACCGAGTGCTGAATCCAAGAGTCCCTGCGACAAGGTATCGCCAAGCAGATAGGCCTTGTGAATGACCCATTCCAAGTCACCCAAGGTCATTCCCATGCCAAATAATCCCTCGACATGGATGCTCTGGTCATGGACATCGGGAATCATCATACTTGCCATTTTTCGCGTTTCTTCGTCAGAGAGAGGCTGGAGACGAAAATTATGAGCGAAGAGATGACGAGGAAATCTCTCTTCTTCGTCATCGCATGAGGCAAAGACGAGGAACGGTGAGCAAGATGGGCATTTCCTTTTCCACTTCCACTCCTGCTGAAGACTTGCAACAAGTCTGGGATTCCACTTGATGTAATGAGAGTCCACAGAGCGAAGGAAAATGGCACTTGGACCCCGAGAGTCCAATTTCGAAAAAATTTGCTTCAACTTCCCTTCCGTGGAACCAATGTTGTCTCCTAAGAGGTCGGCGGGGAGGACGGGAAGGAGAGACAAACCGAGTTTTTGCACGAGGAATGACACAAGTCGGGATTTTCCGCTTCCAATTGGACCCGAGATCAATATCCCCGGAGGATCTAGACCTTCAAGAACTTTCTCACCTCGAAGATACGCCTGCATGACCTTAAAGACCTCGGAACACACCTCTCCTTTGTACCAGGACGACAGAGCATCGTCGGCGTTAGGAGAGGTGAAGGGATGACGGACTAGAGGGCAAAAGTCTTTTACGGCTTCCTCCCTTAATCGAAGGTTTGTGAAAGACACGCACACCAAATGAGGCTGCCAATTACGATGACCTTTGACCTCGAGGACTTTGAAGTGGAGGAACTGGAAGCCTTCGGGAGGGAAAAGGGTGTAGTCCCCATCGATGTAGAGATCCACGGTGAATACGTCCCCGTTGGAAAGGGTTCGTGGGATGCAGAAATAGTTGTACAAAGCCGAGTCAACGTCATTCCTGGACACGTAGTGATTGGGGAAGAATCCGATCTTCACTTCTCGGGCCTTGGGAAAGGGAAGGGAGAACGTGGGAAAAGGAAGGGAGAGCAGATGAAGGGAGGGCAGAGATCCTCCAGAAACGTGGGGTCTCCAGCCAAGGTTGTAGAGAAGGGGGTAAGTAAGGAAGAGCATTCCTTGAGGGAGGGATGGATCCGGATGAAGGGATACGAGCCGAGAAGGAAAGGGAGAAGAGTCGAAATTGTAGAGAGAGAGATAGGCTAGGTCCAGAGAGGACGATTGAGGTAAAGACAGGGAATTGAGCCAGACGGCGTTATCGTCATCGTCTTGATGGTTCATCTTTTTCATTCGGATCTGGGCCTGAAATGGACCTTGGGCACGGGAAAGAAGTATTTCTAAGGCCATTCTCAAGGACCAACCCTTCCCCTTCCACAATCCCAACTCCCAACACACGTAATCTCCCACTTCCACGTATCTGACACACTTGTCCTTCTCCCATCCCGTTCTTCCATCATTCATCAATCCACTCGATCTTCCAACAACCATCTGGTAGAAAATGCAAGCGATTGGTTCATACTTCGTGATTCCCCGAGTCAATCAACGCACATTGTCAATTATCACACATTATCATCACGTGATCATCAACCGCTAATGATGCAATAGTGTGAACGCGACTTGATGTTCTTGAAGAAGTTGATTACTAACTTGAGGGAAGAGGTTATAGGTTGAAGATAACGATTCGAAAGTTCTCAATCCGTGGCTAGAACGTGAGAATCCTCTTCACATCTATTTAACTCGTAAATAGAACAATGAGACGTGCCAAGTGCTCAGGAAAAAGTGGAGTGAGAATTCACATTCCACACGGACTTGAGATAACATCGAACAAGTTCATGTCCAGATTTTCGGTGTGAAAAGCGAACTAGATACCAGCCTCAGCATGAGAGGATTTTTCCACCACATTAGGATTTCTCTCAGATCTGGTTTCCAGATATTTATGTGATTCGGACACTCATGCCTAGAATGATGGATAGTGCGCCGATATTAGGAGAAAGAGGGACGTAGCTCCCTCAGCATTTCTTGCGTGAACCTCCACATTTTTCTCCATCGTCCGCAGTCTCTAAAGCAGTGGTGCCCAACCTTTGCGGCTACCGGGCCACATAGCTCACTCCCACAGCCATTGCGGGCCAGTCACTAGTATTGTAGGAGACTATTTTAAGGAAACCTAAGGGTATTTATTGTGGGTTAGGGCCTCGCGGGCCGCTTGTAAGCACTTCCAGGGCCACTTTTTGCCCGAGGGCCACGAGTTGGGCACCACTGCTCTATATATTTCAACATTCGGGGGGAAAACGTTCATCATTTTCGCGGAAAGAATTGCTTAAGTCAATTTCGTATTCCTTCCATGATTTCACAGGTTCTGATCAGTGCCCACACAAAACCCCCGAGCTTAACATAGTGAATCACCAGATTTTGGGGGTTTAGTTCGTGCAGGTCTTGTGCCTTTATTTGGTCTCTCTCTCTTCTTTTTGCTTACTTGGAGTCGGCATTAAGGCTAGGAACGCCTAATTTTCATTGTTTTCGAGAAACATTAACTGCTATCCAATTATAAGTGATCTTGATTAAATCAATTTTAATTGAACAGAAAAGAATGGTAATACAGCTGATGTATGAAGTGCTTATTTAAATTCGCGCAGAAATGGCAAGGATTTGAAAACAGGAACGTTTTTTGAGCGACCCTGCAGAACTTTTGCTGGCACACTTACTCTCTCAACTGAATTTCTACAGTGGCATTCCGACACACATAGATGCTGACTTTTGCCGTACAGAATCTGTTTCATTTATCAAAAAAGTTTTCATGGCAGAGGAGTGACCAGTTGACAATTAGAAAGGCTCAATTCAGGATGTGGGGCGCGAAAACTAGACGAAGGGCGACTGATCGATGAGAGGGGTAAGTCCCAAGATATAGGGAAAGCTTCCACTCGCCATGGAGCAATAATGAAGCCACCCGCATTTCCATTATCCCTTATATATTAATCAAGCTTCTTTTCCCTTTTCTCAAGGAGATTGCATAGTAAATGCATCATATCCCATCAGAAAACATGTTCTTTATCAAAACCATAATATCAACATGAGCATTGCCATCGGAAAGAGAAAAATCACAGATATCTGCAGCACAGTGAGTCATAGTAAGACTTTGAACTTTGAGTCTTGAAGTGACCAAAGGATCACAAGGGAACTCTGCTTTCGATTCTTCAACGCTCCTTTCATGTCTTCTGTGATGGTTGAAAGATATTTCCGATACTTGGGCCATCTGGAACACACGTCAGCGAGCAAAACCTCTTGTTATTGGATTACATTCAAGTGACAAGAAAAATAAGATGGAACCTACCTTTCTTCGACCTGAGAGATGTACTCGACTGGGTTGTTCCCTTGAGTATCCAAGAAAGCACCCAAGAAAAGAAGAGCAGGGAAAGGGAGGTCCAAGACAAGGACTTCCGCAGAGCGCTGGATCTCCTCCAATGTCCCCATGAGTTGCGCAAACATCTATAGGCAAACATCGATATAAAGTCGACGACGAGTACTTTGATGGAATTCTTAGCCTTGTGCCATATCATAAGATCAGAAACCTTTTGGTTCTGTTTCAAAGTCTGGACTCACATGATATCAAGCTCATCTAGCACAGCGAGTTTACAACTCATCAAAAAATAATTGCAAAGAATCTAATAGGATAATCACTAACTGGCATTTACATTCCCATCGAGACTATGAGGATAGGATTTTCATGTTCATTAGTCGCTCATGGAACAGAAGTTCGTTGCACCATTGAAGGGTTCAATCATATTGCAAATCAGAGTCAAACTAGCATCATGAAAGCTGTCCACAGCACAATAGAATAATATTTCAGGAAAGTGAGAAAAAAAGACTTCATTCTGATTTATGCAAACTGTGTTTTAACGTAATTTCTTAAAATATATTCAATAAATAAAAATGCAGATTTGAGTAATACACCATTTGAAAGAGTGGAGGGTGAGATTTTGAATTCAGTATGGACGCTTCATAACATCAACTCAAGATACTCAAATGGTCAACTAATATAGAGTGTGGAATTCACCAGTTCAAGTAAAAAGGTGGTCCACACCGAAGTCCACACACTTAGCATTTCCAGTCCATGAGCATCCAGAGCATGGTTATAGAGCATATAAAGCAGGGAATGCTGCTGCCCCCAGCATTACATAATCTGTAGAGTGCAAGCTGAGGTTTCAATCAACTCTAGATGTTCCCCTTCCAGGCATGATTTCAACTGTATGAAGGATGTCTCCCAGCTGGATTTGTACGTATTCAGTTGCACTCAGATTGCTGTCAAAGTGATACAATCATTCCTGATTTGCCTGATTTAACCATCCCCAGGAATGAATGCCCTCAGCACTTCACAGGTGTTTCTTCAGATTCCAGTTAGCATTTCAATTCAGAAAGTTTTTCCATAAAATACAAGCCAAACGATTCATTATGACAATTTGGCAAACATAATTTTTCAGTTATTTAACCCCTTCAATGGGGAGTGTAGATTTATCCACATAATTGAGTGGGCCACACAGGGTCCTCCTCAGCATGAAAAAGATAAGGGGTCAGAGCGTTCTCCACTCAAATGGATAACAATGCAAACTAGCAGTTGCCAACCTGAAGACTGCATTGTATTCATATGCATGCATGAACAAAACTCAACTATAATTATTTTTTCGTTTTAGCCTCCTTAGAATTGAGACCAACTCCCCATGTTATGCTGGATCTAATTGGTGATGACAATCTTCACAGCTCTCTTATTGATATTATTTGAAAATTTCACACGTATCTTTTTTCTTCTGAACTCAAACTTTAAGACAATTGTTAACCCTGCAGATGAACCATAATCAGAGATTGGGCCAGATAAGTTGACTGATGGCTGGCTAAGGATCCTCAGCCCACCTTTTACCTGACAACTAAAGGGTGTCCCAAAAGTATGGAACCATTGGCACATAGGCACATGGTGACAATTGTTTGACTTTTGGGTCCTTGGCAGTGCTTCTTGTTTCTCCAGGTACATTGTGACATGGCCTCTACTTGCTTACCTTCAATAGTGCCATTTCTTGAACTTATATCACCTGAAACATGAAGGAAATACACTGCCCATGGTTCCAGACTTAAGGGACACTTTGTATAGCCACTAGGCATACTGTGACCTTATCAAGGGAAAACATAAGATGAGGGGGCAATAGACTCATACCTAGCCTTTGCTGCAAGGATGGCAGAAAAGCTCCATAAGCTTTTCTACCTGGATCATGCTTGATTCAGGGCCCAGGATAATAACTTATTCAATGCATTTACTCATCTTTGTGTTATTAGAAATTTGGCACAAATAAATACCTTCCTTCCTTCACCCATAATACAGGGTGACCCAGGAAAATGTACGCAAAGTTTAGCACATTCTACTAGCAAATTGAATAAAGGAATCCCAGCTGACAATGGAAGCATGCCACTTTTTGGCACTGCAAATGACAGTCTTTGGCAGGCTAAAGACAAATTGAGTTCTCTGGAAAAAGGCATAAGTGCTCATATGCCCCTTTTCCATATCCATACTCATGCACTGCATTAGGACACATGCAATAAGATAGAAAGATGTTGATACAGTTCAGATGTATATGTAGCAATGGAGAAGCGATTTTCTCCATGCTCCTGCTAGATGGCAGGGAGGCGTCTAGCTATCTCATTACAGCTGCTTGTGGAGGGGGGGAAGGGGAATAAGAAGGACTAGTCATGCAAGGAAGGAAGTCCTATGGAAGGGTGCCTAAAGGAAAATAGGATAGTGGTGCAGCTTAAGTACAGGAATGTCACAAAAGCTTTTCTAAATGCTCTTATTTTCCTCATCCTTCTTTAACCCTTTAACCCACTCCCAAGCAGAACTGTATCCCATCAGGAAGAGTCAATATATCAGCACCTTGGGATTCAAAGGGTTAAGGAAGGTTTTTTTTTATCCTAGAGATTCATTTAGAGACAATCATTGCTTTTTTAAAATTGAAAATGATAACTGAAAGAACAAATGGAAAAATTCTGAGAGTGTGGATATAGAAAAAGGGTATAAGTGCTAAAACAGTTTCTGCCTGCACATTCTGCATTATGGCAACTTGAAAAAACACTTTTTTAAGCCTGAAGTTTATATACGGAACAGTGAAGGATACCATATCACTAAAAACTGGATAGAGGTTGGTTGCAAATGAGCTTTGGGAAGACTTTGCTGTTTTTCTCTAATTGTGCATTTTGCCCTTTTCCTAAGAACTCCATAATTATTTATTGAATTGTACCACTTTTATCTATTATTTTTACTTTAATAATAGTTGGTAATAAATATTGTGCTCTTTATATTGGGACACCTGTGTTCCACCTGACATCATTTCAGCCATGCTGGACAGACTTTTGCCAAAACATTCAGAAATGCCAGTTTTCTTTATGGCTCACTTGTGAAAAGTTCAACTCATCAATACACAATGCCATCTTTATGGCAAAAGTACCAAATTCTACATACGAACATGGACCAATATTTACCAGCTTGTGTTCTTTTTTTTGGAGAAAGAATTTTACAAGGATGTGCTCTGCTTGCTACAGTTGTCCAAACATATTGCCTACAACATAGACAGCCTAAGGTAAAGAAGGAAGGAAAGTGGTGATGTGTCCAAACATTTCATATCATGATATCACATGGATAAACATTTGCATTGAAGAATTAGCACCCTTGAGCATTGAATCCAAGCTGATCAAGGTAGAATAGTCAATTAATTTTCCTCACCATACCTAGTCCTATGAAGAGGGATGTACTGGACCTGGTTTTCAAGCATGCGCCTCTTGGATGCTGACATCCGACAGTCTAGAAGGAAATGGAAGTTGGGTTTCCTTGGGGTGGAAGTTGGTATTGAGACTGAAGATGAAGACACAAGAAGGGTGGAATCAGAGATAGTGGACCTCCCTTGCAATGCAACCAAGTAACCAGTTCTGCTTTTCAAATCATCAACTGCTTCATGCAAGAACTCTTGCAAGGTATTGTAATGCCTTTCAATTGACCTGAAAGACAATTTATGGCAAAGAGATAAAATCCCTTGCTTAGCACCAAGCACCAATGACATGTAGGTCTTAATAAAGGAGGGAAAATATATATGTATAATCAATTTTTACCAATGTTTTCAACCTGTTTCATGCTTGCAATACTTGCAATTTGTAGCAAAACAAACACAACACATTTAAAAAAAATGGGGGGCCATCAAAGGCAGGATGGACCCATCCATCTTTCCTTAATCACTGTGTCAAGACTTCTGCTATGGTTGTCATCCACACCAAGTTAAAGACAAAGAAAGTTCTCTGATACAGATTTGTCATGATTGCTGCATGGAATTCTAAGTAATGAAAGTGGAAAAGATCTGCAGAGTGACTGTAAAGAAAATATTCCATTTCAGAGCATTGAAGCCCCTAAAACATAAGGTATGAGAAGGTGCCATTGCACACATCTAATGACACATGGGTAATTAAATAAATTCCAGTGTGCACCACATTTTTGTCACTAGGGGTGCAATCACTCTATAACTCCAGTACTATCCAACTCTTGCCACAGGGGAACAATGTTAGCATAATTTCCAAAGAAAAATCATGCCAGTTGCACAGTAAAAGTTCAGTGTCTGTCCTCTTTGCACTTCTGTCACCTCATGATGCAAACTAGTTGGTATAGCAATATCTTCACCATATTTTTTTACATTTTTCTTTAGGGATTTTTGTGTTATATACAAATTATGCTTTGGTGGCACCACCATAGCAAGATTTGGTAAGTACTGCAATTGATTCCCCATGTGCAACTTGTCATGCCTGTGTGATGGTATACCATCCTACATTTTATCATTTAGGCACTATCATGCCTAAACTTCAAGGAAGAAACAGAGGTAAAATATTCCATAAGAACTTATGAAAATAAAAGCTAAATCGTCACCTGTCCTTGGAGAGCTGCCTGAAGGAGAGTGTGAAACCTGAGAGATCTGAATGAGGTTGAGCACTAGTCAATACCAGTAACATCTTCCAAGATAACTCCATGCAATGACCTTCTGCTTCTTCAATTGCCTGCAAGAAGGCATTTTCATTCACTTATTCTATCCATCCCCAAAAATAAAGAAGATGAGTTTGATCACATGATTGGAGGTTGGAACCCTGCCACTCCCTCCCCCCATAGCTGTGGACACACACCATACCAAACCAATGTAGCCAATTTGGCTTAAAAAGAAAAGTATGCGGGAAAATATGCTTTAGCATTTCCCTTAATAAAAGAATATCAGTTGGCATCTGCTTGTATACCTATATTCCAATTTTCACTAAAGTACATACAGGGCAAGTCAAAAGTCATTGGACGACTTTGATCAGCTATAATTCAGCAAGGAAGGCATTAATTTCCAGACGGTTTTTTGCATATGAAAGAGCATGCGTTAATTAGCCAAACAACATGGACGTTTGCATGAAATAATAATAAGAAATGGGATGAATCAGCACAAAACGAAAGGCAACATTTTGCAACATGAAATTGATTTCATTTGAGGTACAAGGGACACCCAATTCATGGTTATTTTATGTTAATTTTTGCTGCTCCAAATGGTTTTCTGATAATACTGATGAATTTTCTTCAGAGGAATGCATCACTGTTGTTTATTTCTTCTTTATGTGTGAAGAAAATATTTTCTAAGTGAAGCATTGTTCCACTTTGAAGACAGGCGGATAGGCCAGGTCGGGCTTATCGAGTGGCCTACCAGGTCACTAAGCCTGACTCCACTCAACTTCTGGCTGTGGGGTTTCATTTAATGATTAATTATATGTCAAAAATTCATGCACAATCAATGAACTGAAGCAACAAATAACTGAGATGATTGTTGGAGTTGCCTTTCGGTGACGGCTCACATGATCCAGCTTGATGGTGTGAAATAAGCTAATTACTTTTTTCCCAACGTTGCATATATATTAATTATGCATACACTCTTTCCTATCCAAAAAACTGTTTGCAAATTAAATGCCTTCCTTGCTGAGTTATAGCTGTTCTTAGTCGTTCAATGACTTTTGACTTACCCTGTACAAAACAGAATTTTTTCAAACAATAAGATCTGGTGAGAAACAAACTTGCACAGGATTAACCATAGAACACTAATGTGGGATAAAAGTAACATTATCACCAATGTGAGGTCTGGAAGACCCCTCTATTAAAAAGTGATAGAATACTCAAAATTATTATTAGGTGTGAACTTTTATTGACCTATCAAGTAATACACATTCAAACCATAAACCACAAGCACATTCTGTGCAAACATTCCTTTCTGAGTTGCTGACAAATAGCACAAGTGCAGCTTCTGCAATTAGCATGTTGTTGCCAAATGTTACAGTGCCTAGGGTCTGATGGACCCTGTGTTAGTGTTCTATGATTAAATGTGATTGGTTTTTTTCCTTATTTCTTAAGCAAGGCCTTAGAGCAATTACAGAATTCAAGGATTATAATGGATATGTAATGTGCAGAGTGGATTACCATAATCCATATTCTCCCATTTCATTCAGAATAGTTTTTTTTACTTGCATAAATATCCTGTTAAAGACAATTTATATTCCTGTCATAACTTACAGAGAAGGGGTCATAGAGAATCACAGCATTGATGGCATTGGCCCAAAGGACACGAGCAACATATGCTTTTTCCCTGATCAAAGACCGGGGACCAATTGATGCAATGAATATGGGGCTAGTTTCCTGCTGCTCATCTTTCTGATCAGTTGGATCATCCAGTACATAAGAGAGAAGCTTCTCAATGGAGATGCTCACTCCAACTCCTCTAAGTGTAGGCATGCAAGTCTCTCCATCAGTAACTGCCATGGGAGTCACCAGAAGCTCCATCTCTTCCCTATTCCCAGAGAAAGATAATACATTCATAGAATAAAAATTAACAACAGAGATGCATGGGGGCTTGGCACATGTCCAAACAGGAATATCCAGTACATGAGCCAAAAGAGAGAGGTGACACAGACAGGGAGACTATCACCTGGATGGGTAGAAATGGTATGAGACAGAGAAAGAGAAAGAGGAAGAGGAAGAGGAGGAGGGAGACTGACTCATGAGAAGGTCCACTGACCCAATTTCTATTTATATCCCATCCCCCCTCACACTTCTCACACTCCCTTCTTCCATCTCCATTGCACTCCTCCTCCATCCAGCCTCAACTTCCAAGACATCTTCAAAAGGTGTTCAAGCATCTCTTTTTCTCCAATCTTGGTTCAATTCACAAAGGATGTCAAATCCATGTGTTGTGTGTGGTGCATCATCAACCAAAACATGCAGTATCTGCCATGTGGACTATTACTGTACTAAGGAACATCAAAAGCAGCACTGGCCCACTCATAAGTCTTCCTGTCTGCCTTACAAGGTATCCATAGATCCAGAAGTGGGTCAGCATCTTGTGGCCATCAGGGATGTCTCCCAGGGGCAGACTGTTTTCAATGACCAGCCACTTGTCCTCGGACCTCAACTGTTTCTATCTTGGGATAAAATGTGTGTCTCTTGTTTCTCCAAAATTCAAGAGGAACATCTATGTTCAAAATGTGGGTTCCCTGTTTGTGGACAAGCATGTGAGGAATCTGAGCGACATCGACCTGAGTGCCTCCTCTTTCAGATCAATTATATCCACCCAATGGCAGACGATGTTTCCCTGGATTCTTTCTATGGCCTGGTAACAATACTGAGATGCTTATATCTCTCCTTTGACTCCTTAGATAAGTGGATGGATATCACCACCAACATGCAATCTGAACCATCCAATGAGGATCAAGCAGCAAAGGAACTCCATGACATGAGAGAGAAAGTGGCAGATTTCCTTGAAATACATTTTTCGGTATCTCGATTCCCTGTTGTTAACATTTATCGAGCCTGTGGGATCTTACATTTGAATTCTTTTGAACTTCAGACTCCGGATGGTTTTCTCATTCAAGGTCTGTATACTTTAGCCAGCAAACTGGAGCATTCTTGCATTCCTAACATCCATCGATCATATCAGGAAGACTATAACATGATTGCCCGAGCAGCCATCCCAATCAAAAAGGGGCAACATTTCACTGTTACATATGCAGACACCATGTGGCCAACTCCAAAGAGAAGGGAATACCTATATTCAACTAAGTATTTTTGGTGCAAGTGTCCTCGATGTAAAGACCCAACTGAACTTGGGACTTACCTGAGTGGAATCAAATGCCTCACTTGCAAAAGTGGTTGGGTAATTAGTAAAGACCCACTGGATGAAGATGCAGATTGGCATTGTGAACAGTGTAACAGTAATGTGAGGAAAGAGACTATAGTGGAAATGACTTCTTTGCTTGAAGATGTGGTGGAGGACTTAGAGAAAAAAGAGAATGCAACAATTGAGGACTACAAGGAAATTCTGAAACGTCATGCCCCTTTCCTTCATCCAACACATGCACAAGTCCTTGATGTGAAACACAGTCTGTCTCAGATGTATGGCAATGAGGAAGGTTATCAGATGGAACAGCTTGATGAAGATCAGGTCAAACACATGGTTGATTTATGTTCAGATGTTCTACGTGTTGCCAACAAACTCCTTCCAGGTTCTAACTGCCACAACTCAATTCAGTCTTAGATACAAATGATAAAATTCTTGGCTTTTACTAAGTGCTTGTTTTGCTATCCAGGAATTTCAAGATTGCGCAGCACCACACTGTACCAACTTGGTCGAGCACAAGCCAGATTAGCAAACATTCTCCAATCCTCAGGCAACCATCCAGATGCTATTCAAGCTGCAAAGGTAAAACATTCTTCCACTTTCCTTTTTCCTATGGAAAACTTTGTACTCAAAAATGTGCCCCAAGAGGAACAGGGGTCATATTTAAAAAGGAAGAATATACTACTGTATTAGAATGATGTTCAAGTCTTAATATCAAACCTATGAATTTGAAACTGAGCTTGTTCATACAGGATGGAGAGAGACATCTGAAAGAATGTGAAGAGATTCTTAAATATGAACCAAGTTTTACACCAGAAGGAAGGCTCCTAACCAAGGTCCAAGATGAAGCAAAGCAACTCAAGCAATGGACTTCTGAGAATCTCCCTCCTCAATGAACATCCCCATTACATTTTATCTTTGTTTTTGTGTCTTCAGTTGGTGTGTTCAGGCGATGAGGGGGAGAATGAGAGTGCTCAAGGAAAGCAGTCTCCTGATTGTTTCAATCTTTTGTAACATGGTTGGTTCCAGAGGTACTGGTGATGTGGTAAGAATGGATACTTGAGCCTAAAGTTAAACTTATGTTTAAGAGGGCCTAGCCCTTTCAAGCATACAGGTAAAGGAATTTTACTGCTTGTGACAGGAGGTGGGAATCAGTCCTGGAGACCAGTCATTTAGGGATGCATGTGATCAAAAAACTGAAATGCAATGTGAAATATGAAGTTGTTCAACTGTGCACCCAATTACTGAATTGTGACTTATTTTACTTGGCTATCATAAAGTATGACTCAGTTCAATGTTCAGTGTCTTAACACATTCACTGCCACGTGCGACTGTAAAAAAAAAAAGAAGTGCTTTTTCAACTATCGAAAATAAATTCTGGTCGAGTTGTGAGTGAAAATAGATATCAACATTGCTTCTTCTTTGTCTCCTTTATGCTTCCCAAATGTTTCATAGCATTTGAGCTGCACCTGTTGAAGAATTCAAGAAATTTAGAACTATTTCGAAGGAGGCATGAATACGTCGTATGCCATCTTTGGCAGCGAATGTGTTAATAAACCTTGCAATCCATGACTTGGAGAAGGATGGAGGGACCCAATTCTGACCTGGCCTTAGCAAGCATTGAGTCATAACGTCCTCCAGCTGCCAATATCTCTAGGGAAAGTCTCTTCTTTTTTTTTGATGGGGCAACCAACTGAAACATGATCCCTGAATAAATGTCCACCTTGTGCAACATCCATGGAGTGATCACAACAGGGACCTGTGTTCAAAATCCAAATAGTGCTCTCAGTCCTGATGTAAAGACATGATGTTTGGCCATGTACACTGATGCAAAAAAAGCCACAAAATTTGAAGATCTTTCTCTTAGAAAAAAAATATAAGGATGGCTCACATTGAGCTTCATGGCAGTACAAATAGAGATTATATGATTTAGCTGAGCCAAGGTCTCTCGAGTCATTCTTCCTGCAGGGGACTTCCTTTTCTCTATCACTGGTCGTAGGACTTTTTCTATCTTCTCTGGTAAGCAATCTATTCGGATGAATGAGTACAAGGAATTCAATGCTTCACTTGATACACCCACTGCTTGTAGTTCCTCTGGTCTCCAATCTCCCTTCCACTGCTCCAGGGCAATCAGCACCTATGGATGAATAGTCAAAATATAACTTGAACTTTAAAATGCACTTTGTCTAATTATCATTAAAATTGTCAAACCTTTTGATGGAGATTTTCTGGAATCTCCACATGAAAGAGCAGCCCTTTAACCAGATCTATATGATTCAGATGTATTTGAAAACCTCTTTCAGACAGGGCATGAAATTCACTCAAGATTTCTTCCAAGATACACAAGACTTCTGCATCTGGCAATTCCCCTCCTTTCCCTAAATGAAAAGATAAGAAGTACTTTGGACCAAATGCAACACAGTGGACCTATTTCACTTTCCCAAATCAATGATGTTCTCACCAGAGCTTGTGGTGACGATATCAAGAGCACACTCAAGCAATTCCCTGGGATGAAGCCCAAACACACGCCTTTTTCGAAACACACGAGAAAATGAATATCTTTTAAATGGAGTTGGCATGCTAGGGCCATGTCTTGCAACATAGCGGATGAAGGGAACCCGCAGATCATGTGGAAGACACACCATACTTCCACCATGATCCATCAGATCTACATGTGTCTCAGCTGCAGTAAAAGAGGCAATGCCCTTTGTCTTGTGATTTTTAAGTCAAATAGAGCCAAGGAAAAAAATCTGGTGCTTACTGGATTGAGAAGTCTTTGGCATCAATAGAGGAGTGCGAAGAGGGATGGCTCCATGTCGACGGAACACTGCTTTCAGTTTCTCTAAGGCTTTCTCTTGGAGAAATGTCCCACAATATGATATTGGACCACGGGGAATGTCCATATCATATGTCACATTCTCAGCCACTTTCATGACCTAAACACATGTTCATGTCTATATTGCAGCTTATATCACTGTGATGATGAACCATTATACTTGTTTAGCAAGGAAGAGTGAAAGGCTCTGACTTGGTCCATGCAAGCAGCTACAATGAACTTGTATGCTTTGCTCTGAGGATTTTCCAGGCTTCTTCTCACAAGAGCATACAATCTATTTTCTTCATCTTTGGGTGGAGGTAAGAGGTTGGAATTTAAAAGCTGGGATGAGGAGGGTCGACTCCCAGGATCATGATGTAGGAGGGATCGGATGAGAGGCTCCTTTTCCTTAGGAAAATCTGTGGGAAGGACAATCTGAGGTGAGCAAAGACAAAAGAGTGTCTCTGCTCGTTCCATGGCTGTTCTTGCTGGTTTCATCAACATCTCAAACAGAATTACTCCCAGGCTGTACATATCCACCTTCTACCAGAGGAAAAAAAAAAAAAGGAAGGATGGAATACTGCACAGACAATGAAACAAATTCCAACTTTAAGACTGAATCAAAAAAGCACCAGCTGAGGACTTTTCACCTGAGAATATACTGGAGTTTTAGGTGTGACCAAGAGCTCAGGAGCAACATAGAAAGCTGTTCCCACACAACCTGTCACATCTTCCCCTTGCCTGTTGCTTTGTCTTTCTTGCTCCTCCCCCTGATGCCTTCAAGGAATAAGAACTCATCCTTGGTTTCATACATGCATTTAAAGGAAAAACATGATTATGCTTTGGAAGAACCTGTGAAGTCCATCGGCAGTGGCCAGGCCAAAGTCTCCAATCTTGACATGATCCTCAGAATCAAGGAATATGTTAGTTGGCTTCAGATCTCGATGAATCATACCTTGCTGATGAATATGTGCCAAACCCTCAACAATCTCTCGAAATAATTGCCAGATTCGATCTTCATCACCATGCAACCCATTTTGAATAGCTGTCCTGAAGTAAGAGAGGCAATTGTAAATTTTTAGAATTATGAACTTTCAACTCAATATGTTGTTCCACCAGACATTATCAGGGAAGTGCAAGGTGCCCCAGATACAGTCCTCCCCCCACATTCAGGCAAAACACAGGATAGGGAGGAAAAAAACTAATATATCCCTGAAAATTACATTCATTTCAAGTCTAATCACATTCTCCTTTTTTTCCAAATGGCTATTTATGACATTGGAAAGGTATGCTTCCTTGGTTGAATCAAAGCAATCACTTTTTATGAAGCTATTGAAGTTGGTGCCAGCTCTGAGCATGGATTGCCACCAAGATAGAGCATTCCAAATACTTTATTGCAAGAGACTGGAACAAAAATCCTTAAGACTACTTTTTGAAAGCTGACTATAACAGTCAAGGAAGAGCTATGTTGTTAAATCTGTGACACCAAGCACCTTGGAGCAACTGCAAGGGTTCTATGAAATAACCTACAGGAGGTAACACATACACTTGACACTTTGCTTCTGCTTCCTACTTCTGGTAGTATATGTTGACCTTTGACTCAAGACAAATCCATTCCTCCTTTATCAATCTGATCAGTTTTCAAGGAGTATTTATTAGGATTTTTTTAAAGTTACTTTGGACAAAGTTCTTGGAATGCTTTATCTTGGCAGCAATCCATGTTAAGAGATAAAGCTGGCATTGGTATCCTTAGCTTTACTAACAGAGATTGCTCTGATGTGATCAAGGAAACATACTCTTTCACTTCTAATATACCATTTGCCAGTGATTCTCAGGCATACCTGCCATTCAGGCAGCCCACAAGCCCAAAGGAGCATTCAAGGGCAAATGAAGGAAAAGAAAACAGGGCAAGGAGGGGCAAGGTTAAGCCATTGTGTCTTGTTTCACCTTCCAAGAGTCTAGACAGAGGAACCAAGGGACTACAAGGCCAAATCATACCCCTGGAATAAGTAAAAATCCAGACAGCAGGAGATCAAAAAGCAAAATGCCTTCATTCATGAATGGGATTTCTGGCCAACACCTTATTGACACATTGAAAGAATGTTCATATGCACGTCTGCATGAGGCATCCATATTCACATTGCAAATTGATTCTTCACAGATGCTTTTCATATGGCATTGATATCTCATATGATTCTTCCATGCTATGGCTGCCAACTGAGGGATAGCTACAGGGGCCTGCAATGCACCAATCCATTTCTTCCCTTCTGCTTTGAAGGGTGAGAACATGAATTCGATGGGATTTAACCAAAGATTTTAGGGAATAGGGGGAGAGGAACTGAATGGAGTGGGTTGGGTATCAAGGAATAACCCTTTTGTGCAACTGAGCATTGTCCAACATGAAAATGAACTCATTGCCTGGTTCGATTATGGCACATAGTTCATCCAAAAATTCAGCAAATGCAACTCATGTGAGACCTAGCTCCATTGTGTGGTGGTGCAAAAGTATACGAGAAGGGACAACCTTAACATGACGAGCTGGCAAACCAAAATATCCACTCAGTCTCACATTAATGAGCAAGTTCCTCTTCACATCTCTCTCTTGCAGTTGTGCCATCATGAATGTATCATGAATGGAATTGAAACCAGCTTGTGGTTACAGATGCCAGACTAAAGAGGAAACTGAAGATCTTTTCTGGCCAGAAAGTCAACAGTCAGAGCTGTTCTGCTCTCCCTCAGTTCATTGGCTGGCCTGCTTGCTCTCCCTATTTCTATCATCCAGGGCATAATGAATCCTTTTGGGGGTGTGGGTTAGTGTCATTGCAGGGAGGCCTGAGAATCATCTGAAAAAGGTATAGTATCCATCTGGTAAAAAAAAGAGAAAAAAAAAAGGAGAATGTGTTTGACTTTAAATTCAACATAGTTTTCCCTGGCAGGAAGGGCTATCCAACTGGGACACCTTGCAGTTCTGGTCACCGTTGGTAAGTTATGAAGAAATAAATGAAATTGAGATCCCTGTCACTTGAATGAGTCACAAATTCATTACTCAAAACATTCCCACTCCTAAAGCAAGGTTTACATACTGGCTGCCTTAGCTTTATTTGACCATTTTTTACTCTGAATATGATACATATTTATTTCTTCCAGAAACTTTCATGCTCCACCTAATGTCCTTGATTTTGCAAAAATTCCTAGCACTTTAATTTCTACTTTGCCAGACCTTTACAAAGCACATAGATATCCAACTTCTCTAATTCCAATTCGACCACTCTCCAAACTCCACATGAAGTTTTACTCTAGGCTTTGTGATGCATTAGCAACTCAACTCAAATGCACAGAAATCCAAACCCAATTTGAATAATGAAAACCCTACATTCAACAGTAAATAGACAGGTTCCTTCCACAAACAGAAATGTACAACCAAGCTTCATTGAGTGTCATAATATACTTGTACCTTTTCCCAGCTTGTTGGTGCTCACAACATTTTCGGGTGTTTGTCTTTCTCTCCTGATATGTTTTGGGCTGAGGACATGAACTTTGTTCTTGCATTTTCCATTCATTTTGAGATTTGGATGGATAGCTCCCTTGTACATCTGCAGGTGACTTGCAATTGATCTCTGGCTTGGTGGATTTTCTATTTTTATGAAATGAGTCACTTAGGACAGGAGCTTCTTGTTATATACTGGTCTTGGGTAAGGTTTTATATCTGAAATTCATGCCTTTTTCACTTCTCACCTATTTGATGGCCAAATAAAGCTGGAGCAGCCTTCTGTATACTGCACATGAGTAAAATGGCAAGAAGTTACTCACATGGTAGATTACTTCTATAAATGACTAGTCAACATAAGAGTACTTCCATTAGGGCTCTTTCATATAAGTAGGTACAAACATTGTATTGTACTGTCCTGTAAACTCAAGCAAATCTACTAATACTCCACTTTACTCATGACTAAAATCTGTTCTTCCCCCTTCTGTATCTCCATCCAACCTTGGCTTACAGCTGTGTATCAAAGACCATTGGTGGAAAATAGCATGGCTGATTCATAGAGGAGTAACTCACAACAGAGTGCTTTTTTCACAGAATTCCATCTGAATGTAGAGATACTGGTAAATCTTCCCTATAGTGGGGAATTGTTGGTTCTCATCTCTGTGAGCTTCAACTATTGACTCCTGCTTTTCATCAGCTTTGATGGATTCATTTTCAAAGACTACACTGTCTCCTTCAAAACTGTCTTCCTTGGATTCTGCATGAAACCTAAAAGAGGAATCACTCATTAAAGATTTCCAATCAGCACATCCTCCTGAAGAAGAGTACCAATGCATACATGCAAGAAGTCCCAAAGCATCCTTCCTCCTCTTCATCTTCAGAAGAGGAAGATTCATTGCCATCAACTCCAGCACATGTGGCTGGATAGGAAGTTGACCATTCCACTGAACATTCATTAGGTGGAGGAAGTGCTGATCCAAGGCGAAGCAGCTCACTATCTCCTCCTTCCACTTTCTTATCCTATAGAAACTGATTCTCAGCATTTCCTCACAGTGAAACAATGCAAAGAGCTATGGTATAGTCTATCCAGTCCAACCTTGCTACACTCTTAATCCTCAAAGGGGCCATGCCTCTAAGCCCCTTTCTGATGCTTTGACATGTGAGTGACAGCACAAAATTAATGAGCTTCCATAAAACAGGCAATGCTGGCATAGCCAAGTTGGATCAGATAGACTATACATGGGAGATTCTCATACAAAATCATTGCTTTGTGATGAACTTGTTTCTGTTTGCTTTCTTTCAAGATCCTCACTGGGACTGGAACCAGACTCTTCAGTCTCAATGGTTGTGGTTTCAATCCATGAATTGAAGTACCGAACCACATTCTCATGATTGAGTCGAGAAAGTAGTTTCACCTCTCGTGTGATCTTACGATTCAGAGCTCGATTCCTTGGATTCAGCACCACTCGCTTGATGGCATATATATTTCCATCCAACTTATTTTTTCCCTGAAACAAACATTCAGCTTCAAGAAGCCCAATGCTCAGGTATCAAAACTTGATTTTTCAGTAAACAAATGAAACCTGCACCTTGAGGACATCCCCAAATCCACCAGAGCCCAGCCATTCAAGATCATAGAACTCTTGAAGCAATCGAGAGTTCCTCTTAATTAAGGAGGGGAGAAATATAGGGATCTGGCCAAGACCTTTGTCTCCAAGTTGTTTTCTTTCTTCTCCTTCATTCACCACCATCATAGCCACCTTGTCTCTAGCTTCTGCATGCTTCTTTCATTAAAATAATGGATGTGAAAACCCAATGCTGAGGGTTATGTTTCAAGAAAAGTGACATTTCTCACAATGGCTTCAGGATGATGGAAAAAGTCTCCATCTTCTTGCAGGTAATCTTCATCTTCTTTCCTGGTTAATATAGGATGTCTCAATAACTCTGATGCACCAGCTCCTTCTGCACATCTGTGAGACCAAACATTTTTCTTTGCATGAGTACCACCAATTCTAGGTTCATATCACAATTTACCTATCTTACCGAGAGAGGAAATGCTGAAACTGAGGTGAAAAGGAAGCATGGAAGTGTGGATTGGGTTCCTTGATGAGAAACCCTCTTTTGAGGGAGAGAAGGATGTATGCAACTCGCTGGATATCTCCCATCTTAGTGTTTGGTGAAGCAAATGAGAATGGATCCTGAAACCCCTGCAGCTGTACCCCAATTTTCTTTTCAAGACAGGTGGCACCAACCTTCACCTTCCCTTAAGAGTTCAATGTAGTTTCTAAGTGCAGAGCAGTGTAGACACAAGTGCGAATAAAATTTTCTTAGCTTCTTTTCATTTACCTTGATGATTCAGGAAAACAGATGATGGGCGAAGGCATCCATGAATGAGGTTCCTACCATGTAAAAATTCCAAACATGACAGCATGCCTCTGGCATAATGCTTCAGTGATAGTTGGTCAGCATAGCAATGAGGGTGCAGGTGGTAGGACAAAGGAATTCCAGGAATGTAGTCCTGTTGAAAGAATCACAAACATCAATCTAAATATGATGAGACTTAAAGAATGCATTTGAAATATATATGTTCGAAGGTATAACTAAAACCAAAGACCCAAAATCCCTTCCAACACATGAAACAAAATTTATTCCTCCTTTGTAATCAGACATCCTATATAATTTCAAATTGAAAATCCCAAAACCCTGGTGATACATCACCGTGAGTCCATCTCCCTTTTGATTTGAAAAATATTAATTGGCTACAAAACAGTAGTGAAGATAATTCAAAGGTAAACCATACGGATATAAAAATATTGCATTGACATACAGTTCTCATTAGGTTGCATTTGCCAAGCATTCACCATAATCCTTACTTTCTACAAAATGAAGAACCAGAAATCACTGTTGGTATACCATATGTAAATAGGGGTTTGAGGGGCAAGGCTGTAAGAATTTTATTTCTGGTGCAATATTTGAACACAATCTTGGTTTCAGGCACTCTGCCTGTTTCACAATCAAAATTTGAAATCATAAATGCATAAAATAATATGAAATATATTAGACATCAAGGAACAGAAGTTGATTTCTATTATTATTATTTTCTTTAAGCATGGGATAGTGCCAGATGAAAGGCACTTTTTTACCTTCTTTACATACTTGGAGGATATGAAAAAGTTCACAGACTGAGCACCTTGTGGCTTAACCATAAGAAGTAGAAGAATGCAATTTGATGGGTTCTGTCAGAAGCCTATCAGTGATGGTTGAGCCATTTTTAAGCAAGACATTTCCATGTCATCGATAGATGCACACCTTCAAGTAGCTATTGATACGAATGTCTCATTTGAAGTACGGCAACTATATGAAATTGAATTTTGGATTTGTTTCAGAAAAGGTGCTAGAGAATCATCAGATTTCAGGTGACACAAGCCCTGTTCCAAAAGAGGCCAGAGGCAGGTTTGTCTGAAATCCATGCTCTGAAATACTGTTAGTATCAGAAGAAAAAACTGCAACCATCTGTGTACTGCAGAAGGAAGTTTATAGATCATATGTTCAACTACTTATAGATCATATGTTCAGCTACCTATTGGGCAGTGTCAGATGACTATTCTATGGTTCAGCTGCTTGATACTGCCAGTCAACAATTTTGTCTTAGCAATGCACAAATTGTCTTCAGGTTTTCATCAATTGCTGATGCCAGCAGCTTCCCAGAACATGAATTATCATCAACTTGTGCCTGACTTCTTTGGGGAAGTACTTATACCCCTTGAAAACTATAGAATCTAGGGCACTTTTTCCATATCAAACACAAATTTCACTCACATGACGTTGCTGCATTTCAAATGACCCATTCATTTCAGTGTTTTTCACCATTATCAAGATGTGTGTATCTGTTGATAAAAGTGGTCTACAAATTGCCTGGAGGTATGCCATTCAAATATGGCACACAAACCACAGATAAGCTACTGACAAAGCATGCCAAATTACACACATACCTTTCAAGGTTTGGTCATACAATACTCAATACATCAAATTTTTTATATAGATGAGGGAAGTGGAGAAGCAGATTACCCTAGCTTTTTCCACTCAGACCAGCTTCCTTAATATTCCTTTCTCACTGAAACTACCATTTGCTTACCTTACCCAGACCCCCACCTCACACAACTCTGTCTGCTTCAACACCCAATAGTTGAGAAACCTCTTGGAGAGGCATACAGAGGTATCAGTAATTGTATAGAGCTCCACCAAGAGGTGGGAGCAGACACCAGATGACAGGGTGGAGGAACAAAAAGGAAGAAGTTACAATATATCCATCAATTTTCATTACCCATCACCATAACCAATTACCCATCAAATGGGTAATTGGTAATAAAATGTCTCAGAAAATCAAAGCCTTTTCTGGGAATTCATGGAGTCTAAATAGCACAAAATAACCTAATTAATATTAACCATTTTATTAACAATAATTTTACTAGTCTTGAGTACCACATTTCCAGTGAAATAACCCATGATTGTCCATAAACTTATTCCAATCATGTGTATCTTATAAAATAATCATAGTAAACAAGAACAAAGTGCACAAGTTTTCTCACTGAAGCTACAGACAGACAATGTGAATATGAACTGTGATAAAATGAATGAAAAAGACTGGAATATGAACTGGCATCTGGCTCAATAAAATAAATCCATATTATACATCCTCATTGCTCAAAAGAAAAGCACAATGGAGTTCAGCACATCAACTAAATTTAGCATATGAGCACTTAGTAGTGTGCATTAAAAATTAATTTAAGTTTCTCAGCTGAAAGAAGGTCTTCTCATCACAGAAAACTTGCTGAGCATGTAAGGGCAAAAGGTGGCTTTATTTTCATAGGTTGTCTTTCACTCATGCTTGTTGACATATGGGCCATTCCAAAACATTCAGTGTTGAAGCAATTCCATGTGACATATGGGCCATTCCAAAACATTCAGTGTTGAAGCAATTCCATGACATCATTGTAGGCAGTTTTTCCAACTTGATTGGTTCAAATGGGGCATGAGTTCCAACATATAGAGGGCCACTGGTAGTGTTGGTGTCATTCCTGCATTATTTATCATCCTAGAACCTTGAAAATTTAACTTTGAAACATACATTATAGGTTTCTGCAATAATGTCTGTTAATATGGCCCAACTCTCCACTGGCATTGCCTTTTTTTGACAATGAGTGTATCCATAGACAATGAAGTTAGAGCCAAGATCCAGAGGTTACTTGCTGATTAACCTAAGATCCTGTGCTCTGGAGTCAATAGACACCCTTTGGCAGAGGGGAGGGTTGCCTTTGTCTATGTCTAGAGAACTTTGCATTTTTTCTCATGTACTGTTTGCTACATTTCCCTGTCACCTATTGATATATACATCATTATGGAAGAAGTCAAGCTGAGACAGAAAACCAACTTCCTGAGACCTAAACCAGGATGAGAGGATACTTTTGCTCTTGATGTTCCCATAGTATATGGGAAATAAAGCTCATCTATATGGCCAATGTCACCATCGACCTATCATAAATTTTTACTTGCTTATCCTTTTGTGTCCAAAGGGACAAGCCCTAAGAGACACTTGCCTATATGGAATTTAGGGGTCAAAAGGAAAAATGTGCTCTCTACCTGTACAAAAAAAAAAAGTCAGAAAAAGTATAGCTGGTTTAGGACTCAGAACCTTTTTCCTTTTATTGAGAATGGTAGTTTATAGGAATTATGTGAAAGAGGAACTGGTCCATCTAGACATACCACTCTTCTTCAGTTTTGAGAAAATGGTCAAAAGAATATTCCCTCTTTCTGTGTGGAGTTCAAGAAAAGAATATTATTGCAGATAGTCACTTCTCATTTCAGTCCTTCAACTTCAAGTCAGCCATCTCACAAAACTACTTCTATATCTAGTTTCATTGTTACTAGTACCAGCACTGATAATATCAGAAGTACATTATACTTTATGATAAGTGAGAAGGCCTCCCCCCTCTCAAAGGTTCACCAGTCAATATACCATGTTCCCCTCAGCAATCCACTAATCCTGGAGAAGATTTTTATCAAAAACTCTAATTAAGGAGACCTACATTATAATCATTATCAGTGGTCAATTCCAAACCTGGATGATAAACACAGTGAGAGTGGAGGGGTGAGGACCAATGAAGTGCCCTATTGTGACCAGTCGAACCAGATTTTCATGCTCCAACTCTAGCCATTCCTCACTTTCTTCCTCCAACTATAAATTTATCACAATGTGATGCTCATATAAAATCAATTCACAAAAGCAAAACCTGGTTGAGTACCACTTGTTACAGTACTTACATTCAGTAGCCACTGAGGGAAATCTTGCTGCTTTGGGCAATGCCACTCTTTCAAGATCAAGAGGTTTCTTTCCTGAACATCAAATGCAAAGAAACTTTCCCCACTGGTCACCCCACTCTTCCCTGTCAAGAGAATAGAATTTTCCACATGCTGCAATAACCACAGACATTAAATACCTAGTCTTTCCTCTGATATAGAGACAGACCTATCCTCACCTAAAGGAGCTCCTTTTTGAATAACTCTTTTGATAGATCCATTCAATGTGAGGATCTCCTGATTCCCCTCTTCTTTCCTGAAAAGATAAAAAGAAAGGGTAACCAAAAGGTTCTGACACTCTCCTTGAACTTAGTAACACATGTAGGCAATAGTGAGCTAGACCCATGAAGTGAACATCCTACATGGACCAAGATGGAGAATTCAAATTCAGTAAAACAATTGAGTTCATCAATCCCATCTCCTTCCCTTACCTTCCAAGACTCATCATGAATGCACAATGAACTTGCACAAAAAGGGTTGTTGGATTTTCATTTATTACGTTGTTCTAGTGACCCTGAATCCTGACAGCATTATGATTCACTTCTGCTGTGAATAAAAACAGTCAAGGCAATGTGGAAACTTTTTAAATGGTTTTCCTACACTTTTATGCAAATATAGCATCACCTCTACTTTTGCAAAACATATACAGTACATGAAGAAAGCCAACTCACAAAAATATATGGTAAGGTTAGGGGTGGTAGGTATATAAAGAGCCATGGGAAGAACAAGTTACATTTTTGACATTTTTTGGTGCCACCAGTATGTTTGTTGTACAAGCTTTCATTTTTGATATTCCTAAAATTGCAAAATGATCAATGATACTATAATATATCATTTTTTGTACTTTGAATTAATTAGGAGCCATATGGTTCAGAAACTTCATTTTATTTTTCTCAAAACAACCTAAGCATGACTTTAATCATTCTTCCCATGGGCTCTTCATAAAGTATCAAGTGCAGGTGTGAAGCTATTTGGGTCAATATTTCTGAGAAGAAAGGAAGCTGCCTTTGCCATGTTCAAAAGTTGCATGTTTATGTACCAATTCCCTCCACTGAGTATTCCTTTTATAAATTTCATGGCTCTTTCATCTATGCATCCTACATGAATTGAATATGTCCACTCCAGTCATTTACTCCATAAGCTAGCCTAATGAACTCAATGACTGGAGCATAAACACTTCAAATAAGCTAAGCTATTTGCAGGGATGGTCTGATACTACTAGTGAAAGAAGCAAGAAAAGTATGTAAAATAAATAAGATCTTGACAGAGCCATTCCTTCTGGAGGGACCAGTAGAGTAAAGGAAATGGTGGAAGAAAAAGAAATGATTGAGGTATATTGAGTTATGTAGGTACATATTAAGAGCTTTAGGTGTTCTCTGTCATAAAAAAGACTGTATGTTGCTGTGCTTAGGCCTGAGATATTTAATTGCTAGATTAATGTACTTGAATATAAATGTTTTTGAGAACAGAAAGTTGCTTTGCTGAAATAAATTAAAGGCCTACAGAACTCTGAGGTTTTATGCATAATAGCAACCAAAATTGCTCAACCTAATTAGCTGAAACCTTTTAATACTTTATATATCACTTAAACAATTGGTGTGGATCATCCAGGAATCCAACTGAAGGATTCTCATGGATGATCCCACCCATAGGGCTACTTGGGTCACTCAAATGCTCTATCATCATTTTTCACTCCACATAAATTATATGTATGCATTCAAACTACAGGGTGTCTAAAAAGTCTACCCAATTGGAAATACATTAAATTCTCTTTAGTCTTTTTTGCAGGTGCAGTTCAAAATTGTGACTTTGACAAAAATATGAAAGTATCAAATTGATACTGTTGTGTAGTCATGAAGGTCGGACCCAATAGCAGGTCACAGATCACTTCAATGCAACCCATCCTGAAAGAAACATTACTCACTGTACAGTTGGCAATCTGCCAAAAACTTTTCTTTGAAGGAACTTTCTGATTCCGACAAGTGAGGCATTAATTCATCTCCTAACATGTGCAGGCATTGTTCATGATTTAGAGTGCACCAGAGTGGTTCCAGCAAGATGGTGCACCCCCTCATTATGCATAACCCATTCTTGATTGGCTAGATGAAAACTTCCCAGGACAGTGGATTGGCAGGCGTGGTCCTGCATATTGGGGTCCACGTTCACCAGATCTCATTCCAATGGACATTTTCTATTGGGAGTTCCTTAAGGCATAGGTATACCAAATAAACATCTGGAATTTCGACCATCTCTCTGAACGGATCACACGCATTTATACATCCATTGATGGCAGTGAGAGCTTGTTGCAAAGGGTTCACAGGAGTATGAAATACTGCCTGCAAACATGCTTTAACTGAATGGGGAACATTTAGAAAAATAATGATTTTAATTCCACAAATACAGTGAAACACCTCAACCCAACCACCCCTCTAAACGACAGTTTTTTTGCGGAACCGAATTTTCTCCACATAAGGTTAACCCTTTCCAGTCCACTGGCAGACCTAGCCCAACAATTTCCATAGCGTTACAAATAAATTGGACCGGAAAGGGTTAATGTATTTTGAACCCCTTTGAGTCGACCACCCCTCACACCGACCAACGACCGGCCTTTTTTATGCAAACGGCGTTGAAAACCTCTCAACAATTCCACCTACATTCGCGTCTTAGTTTTTAAGGAGTATCTAATATATCTGATTGGAAAGAAAGTTCTCGGAATTTCATGAACAATTATTACAACCCAGTTTATTTAAAAGCAAAATCATCTCAATCATGAATGTAATCACCATTGGCCTCTATCACTTCACGCCAACGTTTATGCAAACTATGGATGCCATTCCAATAGAACTCTGGCGGCTGCGCTACGAAAAAGTTGGCCAAATCGGTTTTCAGGTCGTCT